GCAGTTGAACCAATGCAGATTGGCTCGGTAGAAAGAGGGAAGACTAGGATGCCATGGAAAGAAGGGAGTCAATGGCGTTGGGAAACATGCAGTTGCTTTGTATGCGGGAGGCAGGGGCAAAACTGTGTCCCGATAGGAAGGTGGGGGGATCCCTGTCAGGGGCCAGTGTAGAAGAGAGGCCCAAACCCCAAGAGACACATACGGTAAACGGCAACTACCTGCCTGCCCCATCTGCACTGAGAGGGAGTTGGAGGGTGGGGGTGGCGAAGAGCTCCAGCTCCCAAGGCTTCAGGAAGCTGGAGGACAAGCTGGGGGAAGGGAAGGCGAGTCTCTCTGCATGAGCCTGTAGAAACCCTTGAAGGGAGCAGTGCCCAGTGCCCCCCTGCATGATGTCCCCTAAAGCTGAGGGTGTCAGATAAGACACGGGCTTTGCTGTCAGTCTAGGATCACTCTGAGGAGAGTTTGGTGTCCTCCTTGTCTGCCTGGCTTGCAAAGCCAGCTTGTCATGCTGGCTCTATAGCTGCTCTGCACCCTGCAGAATGTTAGAATGTTTCTAAAAAATAAACTATTTCTTCCTCATGTTCAGTCCTGTAATATGAAGTCATTGGATCAGGCCCTACCCTCTGGAGCAGAAGAAAACAAGCTTATTTCCTCTTCTGTGTGACAACCCTTGAGATATTTGAAGATGGCTGTCGTATCTCCTCTCAATCTCCTCTTTTCCAGGATAAACATACCCAGCTCCTTCAAGTGCTCCTCATAAGGCTTGGTTTTCAGAGCTTTGGTCATCTTGGTCGCCCTCCTCTGTACTCGTTCCAGCTTGTCAATATCCTTCTTCTGAAGGATATGAGGAGCTTCCACCTTCAACATCACTGTCTGCATCATGTTTTCTCCTCACCCAAGTGAATGACTTGCACACCTTCCCAGCTGGGAGCAACTTTCCAGAGTAGATTTTAGAGGAGATGAGGGGGAGATGAGTTGAAAAAGAGGACAGGGACTCCTGCCCCATTAACATTTGTGTAGAAGGGGGAATATCAGCAAGTATTTCCCTCAGCAAATCTCCTGAGAGAAGTGGGCAAATTTATTATTTTCTGTTTCTCTCAGTTTCTCATTTTTCCAATATTTAAGTTCAGCTCCTCACATCTCCCTATCAGTTGGGTATTTCCATTTTTAAAATGTTCTCATGAAAATTCATCATGAAGAAACAGCTTCAAATTTCTTTTGATCCCAAGCAGACTTCACTTCAGCAAGGTCTTTTGTTAAGGTGTCTATTGTTATGGCAGGATCCATGACTGTGATTTCTCGTGGCTGAGTTTATCTGAGAAAGAGAAGAAAACTGTAATAGTTAAACGATAGCTTTCCACACACTTTTATGGACATTTTTACAATCTGTGGTTTATGTGGGAAAATCAATTTACTTAGGGCCTGTCTCTACCAGTGGGTTGTTTGAGCAGCAGTTGGTAGTATTTCAATAAAGTGAAGAATTCTGCCTGTTGTCAATCCCTCAAAAATCTATATGTGCGTGCATTCACACATAACCCTTAAAACATGTTTGTGTGAGAGTTTTACTTAGCATAGACACACTGAAATTAATAACTATGTCTAAGGTCCATTAATTTTAATAGGTCTACTCTGAATAGATGTTAGTTGAAGACAACCCATTATCAGCAACCTTATCTTGTCCTGAAAACTATATAAATATAATGAATAAATAAATGAAATACGGCAAAGGAAAAAAGAGCATAACATCCTTTTTAGAATTAAAGACATTCTAAGGACCTAACTGCATGATACATTAAGTGTGGGGTGTTATCAGTGGGGTTTTGTTTGTTTGTTTTAATTGATATGGGGAGGCGATTTTTGCAGCAGGGAAGGGAAGTTTCATCTTTGGTACCACAGTGATGGAAGGACACAGAAAGCCCCGAGAGGGCGACTCGGGAAAGTCGTAGAAACATAGCACTGTAGAGTTGGAAGGGACCCTGAGGGTCATCTAGTCCAACCCCCTGCAATGCAGGAACATGCAGCTGGTCCATACAGGGATCGAACCTGCAACCTTGGTGTTATCAGCACCATGGTCTAACCCACTGAGCTATCCAGGCTCATCAGGCAGCACCAACCCAGAACCAAGAGAACCTCCAGCATCTTCTGCCCTGCCTTGAACCCTTGCCATGCCATTTTTCTAATCAGAAATGGCTCACAGATACCATTTGTACATGCCAAAAAGTGTTCCTGCTGCTTTCTTGTAGTGGTAATATCCATCAACTGGGGGGGGGGCTCTGCAGAGGGATATATTGAATGAACCCTCGAAAGGGAGACCAGCCGCATTGGCTTCAGGGCAGTTTCTTAAAACTCTGACCACTACCAAGAAGGCCCTCTGCCTGGTTCCCTGTAACCCCCCTTCTCACAGGGAGGGAACCGCCAGAAGGCCCTTGGAGCTGGACCTCAGTGTCCGGGCTGAACGATGGGGGTGGAAACTCTCCTTCAGATACTAGGCCAAAACCCTTTAGGGCTTTCAAGGTCAGCACCAAAACTTTGAATTGTGCTTGGAAACGTACCAGGAGCCAATGTAGGTCTTTCAGGACCAGTGTGATATTGTCTCGGTGGCCACTCCCAGTCACCAGTCTAGCTGCCTCATTCTGGATTAGTTCTAGTTTCTGGGTCACCTTCAAAGGTAGCCCCAATTAGAGTGCATTGCAATAGTGCAAGTGGGAGATAACTAGAGCATGCACCACTCTGGCAAGACAGTCCACGGGCAGGCGGCCTGTGTACCAGGTGGAGCTGGGAGACAGTGTAAGAATGCAATGACATTCTGAAGTGTGTCAGGTTCTTTCTTCCAACCCTGTCTCTGCATAGACCTCACTGGTTATTTGCAACAAGATAGATGGGGGGGGGTGTATGTGACAGTGAACGTATTGCATTAGCATGTGCTTCTGTTCTGCTTAAAGGGAGCCCTTTCGCCACTAACATGTCTGCTGAGGAACTCCTGGGCATCCTTTGTCACGTGACTCATTTGCCTTGCAGAAAATTCTGAGAATGCAAAAGCATCATAAGCATGTTATATTGGTTCACATGTAGTGCTGCTCAAACCTGTCAGGTTTCACTGTCAAGGTCCATAGGCTGGGAATGTGCATAAACTCACAGACAGACTTGCCTTGTTGTAGCTGTGCACTGAAGATCAGCAGTGATGGCCATGTATCACCAATTTTGATCTAGGAATGACATACTGCATTTTCCCATGTATAACACACACCCCATGTATAAGACGCCCCCTATTTGGGGGGCCTACAAAGTAAGAAATTTCTACAGTGCACTATCCGTGTATAAGATGAACCCAATTTTTAAACATTATTTTAAGGTTAAAAAAAAACCCCTAGTCTTATACACGGAAAACTATGGTACATACTTCTGATGGGAGACCCCAAATAGAGACTGAAAACCCCTATGCAGTTTTAAATCACCAAGGACCATTGAGCTTATCTCCGACAAAAGTCTAATTAACTGGTGCAGGCATGTATTTGTTACTAAATGCTCTGCTGGTGACGTCACACAGAACTGTTTATCCCTGTAAGTTCTGATTCTCCTCACAGATTTGCAACTGTATACCCTGCATAACCTTGAAAGGGGAAAGTAGCTTTGGGTTTTTAATATCTTGGAGCAGAAATTAGATCCTGTTTATAAGTTGCCCTCTCCCCCTCCCCTGCCCAACACACAGCTCTGCTCAAACAGGTGATTTCTGAGAAAACGAAAGTTAGTGGGGTCGCTGTAGGTCCTCCTCCTTCTTGAAAATCCTTTCTTGGACTGGGCTGGGTCCTGACTGGGTGTCTGAACTCTTACCGCAGTGCAGTGTGTCAAAAGATTTCAGATTAAAATACCCTCTGCTGGCTCTCAGAGCGTGGGGCAAGAAATTCCCCCTGCAGACACTTCTCTGTTGGCTTTGCAGATGCAGCTGCTACCTGCCTGCCCCGTCTGCAAGGAGACGGAGAGGGAGTGCATGTGTGGAAAGAGCTCCAGCTTCCAAGGCTGCAGGAAGCTGGAGGACCATCTGGGGAAAGGGAAGGCGAGTCTCTCTGTGTGAGGCTGTAGAAACCCTTGAAGGAACCCGTGCCTGGTGCCCCCCTGTATTATGCCCACTAAGGCTGAGGGTGTCAGATAAGACACAGGCTTTGCTGTCAGTCTAGGAATACTCTGAGGAGAGTCTGGTGTCCTTCCTGCCTGCCTGGTTTGCAAAGCCAGCTTGTCATGCGGGCTCTATAGACGCTCTGCACTCTGCAGAATGTTAGAACTTTTCCAAAAGAAGTTGGCTATTTCCTTTTTTTAAAAGTTCTCGGGAAAATGCATCAGGACTTCTATTTATTATGATTATAATTGTTATTATTATCTTCCTCAAAGGGCAGTGTACAAAATGCAATGAACACAGCTGAAAAGCATTTAAAACAACACAGGAAAAAAAGCAAATATGTTTCCAAACAATGCTAAATAGACACTCATGGCAGCAACCTATTCATCCACCTGGGAAAACTTGTCGGAATGAAAACATCTTCAGTTGTTTCCAGAAAGTGCCGGTAGCAGGTTCCTGTTGTATCTCTGCAGGAATGCTATTCCACAGAACAGGGGAAGTCACACTGAAAGCCCTGCTCTGAATTACAGAAGATCTACCCAAATATCAGGAGTGAGTGGCAGATTTTATCCTGCCTACATGATTCTTCTCACCGGCCCTGGTTAATAGGGGTTAGAAAGTATTATGGGCACTGACTCATTCTATACATAAAGCTTTGTTGGAAGAGGTTTTTAAAGCAATAAATACATCATGGTACAGATGTTGCTGCTGTTGGACCAACGAGATCGTGAGCTGCAGGCATCCAAGCCATGAGGGAAGCATTGTGGAACAACACTGTTCGTTTCGCAGCATTTATGTCCTGCTTAATTGCAATAAAACCTTAAAGCAGTTGAAACAGGCGATAGGACCTGTCCTGTTTTCTTCTTTGCAGGTGCCAAAACATTCCCCGCCACTAGGATCTAGGATCGTAGAATTGCAGATCTGGAAGGAAACCCAAGGGTCATCTAGATCCACCCCCTGAAATCAGTGCCATGTGGGGCTTAAATGCAGAAAACGCGGGAGCTGCTGAGACGGGCACAGAAGCAACTACGGCAGAGGTAAAGGGTTAACCATATCGGATGCTTCAAGTTTCACGAGTGAGCCTTTGGAACCTTCCCTTTTAAAGGCAGCTGCACTGCTGGCAATCAGGCTGCTTGGAGCTCCCTCTAGCGGGGAATGCGGCTCTGGCTAGGCGTTGCAATCTCGTCCTCGCTCGTACTTTCGTTTTCTTCTTTCCTTTTTTTAGTGCGACGACCGGGAGGGAGAGGGAATAAAAGCGAGAGAGAGGAAGAGAGTTGGACGGAGAAAAGCCTAAGAGACCAGCAAGCAAAGCCTCCGAAGAGGGAACTGAGCTTTACTGCAAAAAAAACCGGACTGGCAGCAGGTAAGGAGGTGAGCATTTCTCCTGGGACTCTGAAGTTTTCCGTGGTTTGGGGTTTTTTCTGAGCGTGTTTGCGTTAAAGGAGACTCTGAGCTCATTGCTAGGCGGGGGCGGCAGAATCGTTTATTTTTATTCTTGATGATGTTGGGGAAGGCTGCCCTTCTTCCCCGCTGCAAAGGGAATAAATAACATGAAAAATCCAGGGAGCAAGCAGAGCTGGTGCTACTCTAAGAGTTGTAAGTAACTGCTCTCAAATCAACGCGGGTCTCCCTTTCCAGCGGTGACGCGTGTTCATTCGACATCCCCTCTGCAGTTGCTACGAGGCTGTCCTCCTTCTGGTGCACACAGCCCTCCTTTCCAGGCTGCTCTTCTCCCGCATACCCAACACACACCTGGAGCAGGGAGGGAGGGAGGGAGGGGGGGGAGAGAGGGAGACCTCATTCATTAACCCCTCCCCTCGTGTCCGGGCTCTTCTCTCACCTTGGATGCCAGGATCAGAAGGAAAAGAGCTCCCATCCCATTCTCTCCCTCCCTGAAGGGAAGATGGTGGGGAGGGGGGGGAGAGAGAAAGGACGCAACTTCCGGCCAACTTTCCAGTCTGGACCCTGATCTGCACTCCCCCCCCCTCCCTTTCCTCTCCCAGCAACACCAACAAGAAATCTCAGCAGCCCCCCCACCAGGTGATTTCCAGACAGGAGCGTTAGGAAAAGTCTCTCACCCCTAAAAAACTTCGGAGGGGGGGGAGAGAGAAGGGGAAATAAAATACAGTGGTGCCCCGCAAGACGAAATTAATTCGTTCCGCAATTTTTGCCGTCTAACGAATTTTTCTTCTTGCGAAGCACGGTTTAAACGGTTTAACAAAGTCGCAAGACGTTTTCGTCTTGCGAAGCAAGCCCATAGGAAAATTCGTCTTGCGAGGCAAATCGCGAATGAAAAAACCTTTCGTCTAGCGAGTTTTTTGTCTTGCGAGGCATTCGTCTTGCGGGGCACCACTGTAAAGGTTTGCTGAGGGGTCAGGAGGAGAGGAATTTGTGTCTGGTCCTTCCACAGGCTGGGGAGAAGGAGGGGGGAGGCTGTCTCCAATCTGAGAAGAGAAACCATTTCCGTGGAAAGCTGATACAGTGGTACCTTGGTTTGCAACCGCTTTATATTACAACTGTTTTGGGTTACAACCATTTCAAACCCGGAAGTGCCTGTCCATTTTGGGGGGGGGGGGGAGGCCCCATTGGCGAAAGCGCGTCTTGGGTTACAATCTGTTTTGGTTTATAACCGGACCTCCGGAACGGATTATGTTTTTAAACCAAGGTACCACTGTAATGTACAGCTTGGGAGAGGGGGAAGTGGGTGGAGAATTTAGACACATAAGGTGTATCTGGTTATTAATTACTTAAATCAGTGGTTTTCAACCAGGGTGGCGTGGCACCCTGGGGTGCCTTGAATGGTGGTCAGGGGTGCCGTAGGCAACACTGGCCTCTGTCCCTCTTTCATTCATTCCCTCCTCTGATGCCCTCTGGTGTCTCTGCCTCCCAAAGGCTTGAAGAGCTGTTTGTTGCTGCATCCCTGGCTACAAGCTCTCCAGGCGAATGGTGCCTCAGGGGCTGGCCAGGGGGTGCTGGTTTCCAGGAGCTGAAGCAGGGCCTCAGAGTAAGCAAGCAAGGGGGTGAGGGAGCCCAGCCAGCCAGACCACCAGCCCCTGCTGTTGGGAATGGACAGACAAGTGCCAGGCCCCTGTGGGGCAGTGTGAGGAGGCACCTCTATTGAGGGCAGGGAAGACAACTCAGAGACCAGGGGTGGCATCAGCAGCTGCCCAGAGGACTCCCAAGGAGAGGGGAGAGGAGACTGAGGGAAGACTTAACAAGGAGGGGGGTTGTTTGAAAAAAGATGAGAGGCTGCCAGCTCTGCAGGCAAGGGGTGACATAACTGGGCTTCTGAGCCCCACGGGGGTGCTGCAGAAAGAAGGTACTTGGTCAAAGGAGCTGGGGACCCAAAAAGGTTGAAAACATCTGACTTATATGACAAGCAGGGGCAGAATTTACATGCAGTGTGTAAAGGTAGGATGCGCTCTTAAAACATTCTTAAATAAAACTGCCCCAACCCCTTCTTCTTTTTGACCAGATCTTCTTCTTCTGCACCTTCAGACCGATAACTCTTTGTTGCATCTTTCTAAAAAACATGTAAGGTTCAATCATCAATGTAATGGGCACAGCGTCCCTCCCCAACCTAAAAAAAAAATCAAAAATTAGGAAGTGCAGTTTCTTAAAATGCTGAGAGTCCCCTTCCTCATGTCCCCCTCTATATTCAGGGCTCTTGGGCTCTGCTCCTGTGTCATGGAATCAGAGGAGTGGTGGAAGGCACCAGTTGGGGAACCCCCAGGGGAAGAATCTCAGAGCCAAGGGATTGGGGGTGGGATGGAGATGGAGATGAGTGGTCAGAGGGAGAAGAGAGAGCAGACTGGGAGGAGGAGAAGATGTCAGAAGCTGAAGAGGCAACAGGGTTTAGTGAGCAGGAAGAGTCTGTGGCAGAGAGCGGTCCAGAATCAGAGGCAGAACTGGAGGGGGTCAAGAGGCAGAGTAGAGACAGGGAATCTCCCCCTTGTGGTGTAACCAGTTTCCCTCCCCCCTGGTCTCCCAGAACATGAAGAGGAACGAAGAGGCAGAGCAATGAGAGACAAGACGAAAGAAATTCAGGTTGCTGGGGAAGAAGGAGCCTTAGAGAGCGGGGAATGTGGGGACCTACAGTCCTCGCAACAGCTTCATTGAGGCAAGAGATACTGGGAAGAGTTGCTGTGTTCACTCGGCCTGCGCTGTTTGGTTTTCTTTGAGTAAAGAGTTAACGTCACAGACAACGGGTGTTTTATTGCTCACTAACTCCAGCTCCTGACGTCCCATGACCTTTGGGCACTTTATCCTTGCACTCACTTCTGAATTATGGGATGTGATGGGATTCATACCATCTACCTGTAAAGCTTTGTTGCTTGGCAAATGATAATAATATTGGCGACGCTGGAAATTTTACGGAGGACATGCCACTAATGAATGCTTCTGCAGTTCATCTGTCCATCTAATGCGCGAATATCTGAGCTCCAAAACTGTAGGGCTCGAATGCTCGATTTTTTCAGCGCAGGATAAATCCTTTCCCGCAGCTACGAGTGCACTTAATGGCAGATGGTCACTGTCTAAGCGCTCCTCCACTTTGCATTCCAGAACTTTGTTTGGAAGATCATACGACACGATTATATAATCAATTGTGGAGGCGCCATTGTTAGATATAAATGTGAATTCTCCGACCTTCTCCCCCTCTGTACGGCCATTTAGTATAACCAAGTCCAACTTATTGACCAAGTGTAGTAGGCATAAGCCGGCATAATTGCAGCCTTTATCCTTTGAGATTCTAGCTGGTATTGGGTGGGTTTCCTCTATAATGGGGACTGTTTCGTGGAAATGGGCACACAAAGCCTCATCAGATTGTCCAGTTCTGGCATTTAGGTCGCCTGCCACCACTACAGAGGCATCAGGAAATTGATTTAGTAGTTTGTCAAGGTACTGTTCTAACTGAGCCCAAGTATTTCTTATCAATCTTTTCTCTCTTTGTGGGGGTAGGTATACATTAATCAGCAGCCAGCTGTGGGTTCTCCACTGTACTTGCACAGCTGTGGCCAGATGGTCTAGTGGGTCTAGTTTTTTAAATGTGGCCCTTAGCCTTGTTGAGATTAAAGTAACTAACCCACCTTTAACTCGCCCCCCTCTAGTACTTAAAAGACCTGGGAGGGAGAACGCAGAAAAACCATTTAACTCCACTTCACTTGTGCTCCAGGTCTCCTGGAGAAACGCAATGTCATGTCTCTGGATATATTTAGCAAAGGACTGGTCAGAAACCCTCTTTTGCCAACCTGCAATATTCCAAGTTAGCAAGGCAAGGTTGCACGTTGTCTTGCCAAAAATTGATCTTAGTCAATTTGCCTTTGAAAGATTTTTTGGGCCTATCTTTTTATCTGTTGGTTGGATTTCATTCATTTTGGCAATGTCCATAGATGTATTATCGCCCAGGTACTCAATGGAATCAGTTGAAGGGTGCAGCGTGCTAACATTAGTGATCAGTACTCCTTTTTTTGGCGAATCTACCTTGAGGTGTTCTATTTGACTGATACCAAGTTCATCCTCATCCAGGTATCTCATGCTGGTCCAAGAGCGCGTTGTGGTTGTCATAGGGATGGTTTCCTTCTTAGATGGTAGATTGTTGCTGTCCCTTACGCACTGTGTTAGATCTGTTGCTGTCAGGTTTATCTCTGCAGCTGCAGAGGTATTATAAGGGTAGTCTTTCGTGGTTGCCATAGGGATGGTTTCCTTCTTAGATGGTAGATTGTTGCTGTCCCTTACGCACTGTGTTAGATCTGTTGTTAACAGGTTTATCTCCGCAATTGTAGAGGTATTATAAGAGTAATCTTTCATGGGGTCTGTCTTGGCTTTTTCAGAGAGGTTCTCTTTCTTCAATTGGTCCGTTGCCGGTTCTTTCTCTCTTACTTTTTCCTGAGCATTCATCTCTGTTAACTTATTTCTAAGGGTCTCCAATCTTCTCAAGATCTCAGTTTGGGCAAAGAAAGGCAACAATCCAAACTGATTTATTAATGCCTTTTCTTCTGGATAGAAGTTATCCATCCCCTCATTAGGCAATCTCATCTCCTGTCTTAGTTTCAAGGGCCCTTGCTCAGTATGTTCCAGTTTGTCTTTTGAGTGTCCTCTCTCCTCCTTTGGTTTACAAGTAAATCTTATTTCAGCTGTCGTAAACTCATCAGGGAACAATTTCAAACATGTGCTGTTTTCGAAAAATCTTGTTACCGTTATCCTTTTCTTTGACAGCAGATGTCTTGATCTATATATATATTTAGCCAAGTTTTGATCTTTGAAGGAGGCAATCACTCGCAGAGAATATCCATTGTAGAATATGAAATCTACTGAGGTAATGTCATTTAATTTTATTTTCCCTGGCAGCATATCATCTAAAATATTCACAAAATGCACCGAGCGTTCTTCCTGTGTAAGGAAGCCCTTTGGCTTCGGGTAGTTAAGAAAAGCTAACTTCCTATCTGCCAACATCAGTTTCCATCCTTTATCCTGGGGCAAGTCTTGCCCTGCTACTAGCTCATCTTGAAATCTGCCATAATCAATAGTATGGGGTGAGTCTTCTTTAATATTTATGGATCCTTGGGGTTTCAGCATAGAGCACCCGGGTAGTGATTCCGTTTCCTCACTTGTTTTGTTAGGCAGCAATGATGTTTCTTTCAAAGACTTCAGCTGGATCTTTTTTCCTGGGTCCACACTGTTGTTCTCTCTGCTGCCATGTATAGCAGGTTTGTTAGAGTTTGTTTTTGATTTTGTTGGAATCAGCTTATATAGTCTTTTCCAGCATACTTTGCATGCACGTCGGTTTGTAACAGATTTCCTTGCAGTTTTTATGTTCTTACTTTTCTTTTTAGTTTCAGCTTTCTTATGGGATCTCTTACTAATGCCTCGCTTCTTTTGATTTACTTCGATAGGAAATTCAGTTTTAGGGACAGATACATACAGCCCTATGTCCTTTCCTTGGTGTAAATGATTTTCCGCTGCTGATCCTTGTGTGCACTATTCCTCACTAAGAGAGAAAACCTTATAACTTCCTCAAGCCATGAATTAAAGATAAAATTATTTCAGGAGTTAATTTTACTCCTTCAAGATTTCCTGAAGGAAAAAAGGAACAGGCCAAGTAGGCAATCCTCAGTATATAAAAACTCCAAACCCTGGTTTGATCAAGAATGTCAGGATATGAAGCTAAATTTACTGAAAAAATACAAGAATTATAGATCTGCCAATTTACCCCAACTCCCCACGGGCTGGTTTGAAGATAAACGAAATTATAAAATTTTGATCAAAAACAAAAAACTCCTGGCACAGAAAAGAGAATGGAAATGCCTAATAGATGCATCCAGAGAGAGAGATTCGGCCACCTTCTGGAGACTGGTAGCAAATGGAGTGCGATCTACTTCCTTAGAAGTGGAGTATACTATACCTGCAGGGACTTGGGAGGCATTTTTCCAATCTTCATATTCAGCTCTGCCTTTGACACAGCCACTAATACAGTGTGCGGCAGGTGATGAGTGGCCTCCGGTGTCGGTCGCGGAGATTAGGAGGCTTATTCAGGCACTCAAACACAGAAAAGCCCCGGGAGCAGATAACATCTCTCCTGAACTTCTCAAAGCCAATATTGACTGGTGGGCCCCAGTCCTTGCCACCCTTTTCACCAGCATAGATCAAACAGCAATAATACCAGAGGACTGGGGATTGGCAATCATCGTTCCCATATTTAAGAAAGGCTGTAAACTTGATCCAGCCAATTACAGACCAATCAGTCTCTTAAGCATCATCAGCAAACTTTATGCAACTCACTTACGTGAAAAGTTTGCGGACTGGCTGGAACAGGAGCACATCCTAAAGGAAGCCCAGGCTAGTTTCAGGGCACATAGATCAACTCTAGACCAAGGATTGGTATTGCAACATCTAGTGGAGAAATACACCTCAAAGAAAGGAGGCTCTCTCTATGTAGCCTTTATAGATTTCAAATCAGCCTTCGACTCGATACCCCGGCACAGACTTTGGGAAAAACTAAATGTCACAAACATCGATAGACGTCTTTTGCTTCTTATCCGTAGACTACATGAAAATACTCGGATCCGTGTTAGATGCGACCGTTATGGGAACCTATCAAAGGAAATCCAAAGTTCCCATGGTGTCAAGCAAGGCTGTGTTCTTGCCCCTATTCTTTTTAACTTCTACATAAACTCCTTAGTTGGAAAGATGGAGGAAGCAAGTACTCATTCCCCAAATCTAAATAATACACCAATCCCGGTCCTTTTGTACGCAGATGATGCGGCACTTATTTCCTTCTCTTGTGTGGGTCTAAGAAAACTTTTACGAGCTCTTACAGAGTATTGCGAAGCTGAACACCTAATAATAAATTACACTAAATCAAAAATTATGGTGTTCTCCAAGAGAAAACTCCGACATAAATGGAAAATTAATAACCAACCTATTGAGCAAGTAACATCTTTTAGATATCTTGGAATAATTTTTGATGAGAAGGGATCTTGGTGCCATCAGATTAAGAATTCCATTGTAAATGCGCAAAGATCTTCCAGAGCTATCATAAGATTCTTTTACAGAAAAGGAGGTCAATATGTTCCTGCTGCCTCCCAGGTCTTTGTCGCAAAAATACTTCCACAATGGATGTATGGCACCCAGATATTTAATTGTCAAAAACTCAAGTCCCTGGAATCTGTACAAACTAAATTTTATCGTTCCCTACTAGGGTTACCTACCTGTGTCTCTAACACTGCCATTAGGCTGGAGGTAGGCCAACTCCCTATTAATGCCAGGATATGGATCCTGAAGATTCACTTCTGGCTGAAACTCATATTTTTCCCAGTGGGAGTGGCTCCACTGACTCTACTAGACCCGTTCCAGTCTAAATGGAGATTGTCGCTTTATGAAAAATTGAGGGGCCTGGGGCTTTCCCCACAAGAACTCATAGCCTCAGGCTTTGAAAAGGCTAAAATGATGGTGAGCCAGCGAATAGGAGATGTAGAGCTTCAGGACCATATGAGCAAGATAGATAAATATCCAGCTATCCAAGATTATGGAAAAGGGTTTAATCTAACCCCATATTTGCTGGACCTACAAATCGCAAAATATAGGCGGGCGTTTACCCTTACCAGATTTGATGTATTGCCATCTGCCTTACTAAAGGGCAGATACGAGGGCACACCCTATGCTGAACGAGTTTGCCCATGTGGTCTGAAGGAGGTGGAAACGGCTTCACATGTGCTGTTACACTGCGACCTTTACGGGGATATCAGGTTACTGTTTATCTCCCCCATCGTTCAGAAATTTCCAGGTCGATCTGAATCTCAGCGGCTGAAAATCCTACTAGGAGATAAAAACCCAGAAGTAACACTGAAAGTGGCCAAGTTTTCTGCGGCCGCGATCAAGCGGAGGGCATTAGCTGTAAAAAAGTAAAAGATCTGACCCCTGGATAAGCCCCCCCCCCTTTTTAAGCCCATACATATACTGTAGTGCATATATGAGTATGTATATGTGTGTGGGTGTGGGTGTGGGTGTATATGTGTATTGTTTTTATGTATAATTTTACAACTTTTAATTGACACCATCATTCCCATGTAAATTATTGCTGCCTTTTATGTTTTTTCTTTTCTTCTGGTCTATGACCGTAATAAATTTATTCATTCATTCAATGAATGCTTCTAGTTAGGCCAGTTGCTTAACATTTTCCTGTTTCCTTTCTCTGCAGCGCACTGAGATCCACAATGGTGGAAGACTTTGAGGTAGCCATTTCTCAGGGCCAGTTGGCAGACTCTATGTCACACGTGCTGGCAAAACCACTGCACTTTTTCAACAGCACTCCGCTCAACATTGCCGTAGTAGGAGAGCCCGGCTCCGGGAAGTCCTCCTTCATCAATGCCATGCTGGGTCTTCGTGCCAATGACCCGCGTGCTGCTGCAACTGGCATACAGATGACGACAGTGCAAGTCAAGGATTACCCACACCCAACACTTCCGCAAGTGATCCTTTGGGACCACCCTGGAAGGGGAATGGCAACTTTTGGGGAGGACAAATTTGAGAAGAAGGTTGATTTGAATCACTTTGATTTCTTCGTCATCGTCGGCTCCCAGCGCTTCCGCTCCACCCATTCTGACCTGGTCCGTGAGATCCAAGATATGGGCAAGAGCTTCTACTTTGTGCGCACCAAAGCAGACCTGGACCTGTCGGCCGCCAGGAGGCAACGGCCATCTGACTACAATGAGGAAAAGGTCCTCTTGCACATCCAGGAGGACTGCAAAGAGTGCTTGGTAAGAGAAGGAGTGAGGGACCCACAAGTCTTCATCGTCTCCAACTGGGAAGCCGACTGCTTTGATTTCCCCCTCCTGCAGGAAACGCTGAAGAACGATCTCTTGCGGCTGAAGAGGCAAGCCTTCCTGCTCCGCTTCCCTAGCATCTGCCGGCCTATGTTAGAGAAAAAGAAAACCACTGTGAAGGAGAAGATTTGGACCAAAAGGCTTTGTTTGCTGGTCGCTCTTGGAAGCCCAGTTCCCTTCCTTCTTCCCATATTTCTGTTTAGTAAGTTCCGCTCCTGGTGCTTCCTGGACTTTGGCCTGGATGATCCATCCCTTGCAGCTCTGGCCCAGCGTGTTGGAAAGACAAGCACAGCCCTTAAAGCAGCAATGCAGTCCCTGGGAATGTTTTCTGCCATTTTATGGGTGCTGCCAGACTTGGTGGGACTCTCAGTGATGGCTTATGAATATCACCGCTGGGAGCATTTCCCCATCTTTGGCTGCCTTCTGTCCATTGGGATTTCGCTTCCTCGCACCTACTTCATGCTGCAGAAATGCATATTGGGTGCTGCTAATGACACCCAGAGGGTTTTGTCCAAAGCTCTTGAGGCAGAGGGGAAAAAGTCCATTTAGCAGCAAGCAGATGTGCCATGATGACTAAGTGCTTGATATATAGTATCTGGTGAATTATACGTTTCCATTTTTTAAACAACCACCACCAAAAGACATTAAAAGAATAATAATCAGATGATCAGGTTTTTTATTTTTAAAATTCCATAAATCTTAGGCTTCTCATTTTCAAAACACCCTAAGTGAAATAATCTGAATGCCAGCATAATACCCCCTCAGTTACTTTAAAATTAGTATCTCTATCCAATGTATAAGAATTAAGACCAATACTGAAAGGAGACTTTGGGACAAATGGACTTTTTCCTATTCATAATTCTTTCAGTGAATTGCTCTGTATATGATGTATATGATGTCAGACTAGAAAAACTAGTGAACTATGTGAACCTGCTTGCAGGGATGGTCTCAATTTATAATTTATGGAGGCTGCAGCATTCACTTAAAGCACGACTATAATTGTTTCCTAGATTTATTGGTTTATCTCTTTGCAAACTGCTTTGAGGTTTTATTAGAATCAAGCGGTGTATAAGTTTTCATGAAATAAACTAATTGGTTAAATTAATCTCCTTGCCACTTCCAGGATGTTTGTGTTATAATCAACACTGCTTTCACATGGTCACTCTAATTATTTTAGAAATGTCCAGCAAAATCCAGATGTACGGCAGCCCATGTCAGCAGTGTAGCTTTTTGGGGGGAGAAAAAACCATACACTTTTGTGTTTGGATTTTCTCCTTTTAAAATATGGCCAAACTGACTAATCAGCTTTCAGTTTTCCATGAAAGTCTCATAAATGAAAAATATGGTGAATTATCTAGACCCCCCCTCATTCTTTGGCGATCACTTGTAGCCGAGTAAGACTGTCTTCCATAAACACGGTTTTAACAGTGAGTCCATGACTGTGGAGGCCAATTCTGGATCCACACGTCCTTCCACAGTGGGGACATTGGTTTCCAGGCAGGAGTAGATCACAGTGTGGATTTGCCAAGCGTGCCTTCCTCTTAGCATGTTTCTCCCTAGCGTCCTGAGTTCGAGTGTCTCCAAAGCCCATGGCACCTTTGATAAAGGCCGTTCTCCAACTGGAGTGCTCACAGGGCAGTGTTTCCCAGTTGTCAGTGTTTATACTACATTTTTTTAGATTTGCCTTGAGACAACATGTCATCGACACAATAAAAATGCATGGAGGTGTGTGTTTATAGTGGGCCATTCAGATACCATTGCACTCTATTGTTCAGCAATAGTTCCCCAATGTCACTCGGTTATTATTGCCATCTGGAAGGTCACTCTTGCTCTGTAGGGTGACAAACGTGGGCAACACACACACCCATGAACATTTGTGTTACGAAAAAGTTGCTGGGCTTTAGCAGGAAACTATGGAGTCTGTGCCTATTGCAAACGAAGCAGAATGACCATCCCAAAACATTTGCAGATGCAAAGGGTATAGAAAGTGAGATCACGTATAATCACCCCAGTATAAGCTCAGATATGAATGCTCAATAAAAAGGACATCTGGAAGATCCCTACAGCCTACCTCAAACTGATGCCTTCCAGATGTGTTGGGCTTCATTGGCCATGCTGGCTAGACCTGATGGGAGTTGTAGTTCAAAACCTCTGAAGCATTACTTGCTTTGGGAAGGCTGAGGTGAAATACTACTATATTGTGGGATTAGGACAGAACTAAACCACCCCACCCACAATTTACCCCTCTATGCGTGGTTGACAATGGGGAGTTTCAACCATTTGTTTCATTGTGGGGGGGGTCATAATGGCTGCCTGTTTTTGTTTACAGAAAGAACACTGTAAATGGTATGAATTAAACTGCACTGCACAATGTGTGGCAAAGTCCCAGGAAGATCTGTAGTCACATTGCTTACCTGCAGGCAGGGATCTGCTTTTTAAAACTTATTTTGCAATGACACATAATATTACGTAATTTATAGATGATATATGGTGACGATAAAGGCTCATGAACCATGCCAGGGCCAAGAGGTAATCTTTTGCAGCAGAAAGAGGCGTTTCCGCTTAATGTCTTTTGAAAGTTTTATTGCAAGCTAAATATAAGCATTCTAATTTTAGCACCCACCTAGAACAAGCACAACCCCAGGTACTTTTTATCACCTTTGGTGGACGTGCCCGAAGATTAAGGCTTTCTGGGAAATGATATATAATGAAATGAAAAAGGTACTTAAATGCACTTTTTCTAAGAAACCAGAGGCCTTTCTCTTGGGCATTGTCGGCCAATTGGTGTCAAAGAAGGACAGAACTTTCTTTATGTATGCTACAACAGCAGCAAGAATACTTATCGCAAAGTACTGGAAGACACAAGATCTACCCACCTTGGAAGAATGGCAGATGAAAGTGATGGACTATATGACATTAGCTGAGATGACTGGCAGAATTCGCGACCACGGAAAGGAGACGGCGGAAGAAGAATGGAAGAAATTTAAAGTCTACCTTAAGGACTATTATAAACTTGTTGAATGCTAGAATGTCGAGGTTTTGAGCAAGAAAGGGTTACAGCGACATAAGATTAAGCTGAAGGAAAGATTAAGAGGACAGAGGACTGATGGATATATTTAGAGTTGCTAAAAACTTTTGGACATTGGGATGCAGAAAGGGGAGGTATGGGGAAGTCGGAGAAACATGGTTTATGAAAAAGTTATGAATTTATACGTGTTTGTATGTCCTTTCTTTATGTTTGTATTGTCTCAAAAAATTTTGTAAAACCAATAAAAAATTTTATTAAAAAAAAAATAGAACAAGCACAACCCCTGTGGGGAAATGAAAAATACCTGTTGCTGCTGCCCCTTCTTACCTCTTTTTCAGAACATCTCTGGAGCACAAAGCTGGCCAGCAGTGCCTCTATAGATGTTCTGAAAAAGAGGTAAGAAGGGGCGGCAGCAACAGGTATTTTTCATTTCTCTTTCTGCAATCCTCCCAGTGGTCATTCCTCCTCTGGTTGATTGTCTCCAGGCACTGCAGGCACCTGCAAGGGCAGGGTTAATGTTGCATACATGAAGAGTTGTTTTAATGATACATATTAACCTTTTGCTGGTGAGCCCCCATTGCTCTGTCCCAGCTCCTGCCAACCTCACAGTGTGAAAGCATGCCAGTGCAAGTAGATAAATAGGTACTGCTGCGGCAGGAAGGTAAATGGCATTTCCGTGCGCTGCTCTGGGTTGCCAGAAGCGGCTTAGTCATGCTGGCCGCATGACCCGGAAAAACTGTCTGCGGACAAATGTCGGCTCCCTCAGCCAGTAATGCGAGATGAGCAGCGCAACCCCAGAGTCGTCTGCGACTGGACTTAATGCTCAGGGGTCCCTTAATTTAACCTTTACCCAATGTATAAGAATTAAGACCAATACCAAAAGGAGACTTTGGGACAAATAGACTTTTTACTATATTTCTAATTCTTTCAGTCCCCAAATGAATTTTTCTGTATCTGATGGCAGACTAAAAAACAACAACCCACTAGTGTCCTATGTGAATCTGATTGCAAGGATGGTATCAATCTGTAATTTATGCAGGCTGCAGCATTCACCTTTCTTCTCTCTCTCTCTCTCTCTCTCTGCTGCATTTGCTTTTTACTTTAGAAACGAGTTACCTCTCTATCACAAGCCCCATGCAACATCTATTTCACAATGCTCTTTCCCTCATACACACTCAAACTGAAGGAGGGCATTCAGCTAGACAGGAGCCTCCACATTTGTGAAATAGAAAGTTGAGGTAATTTTAGTCTGTTTTAGTATTTTAACTCTTGCATATCTTAAATCACGGCTGTAATTTTCCCCCTGATTTTATTGTTTTATCTTTTTGCAAACCGTTTTGAAGTTTTGTTAGAATCAAGCAGTGCATAAGCTTTCATGAAATAAACTAATTGGTTGAAATATTTTCCTTGTCACTGCCAGGACGTTTGTGTTATAATCAATGCTGCTTTCACATGGTCAGCTTTGGGAGCTGGAGCTCTTTCCACACATACACCCCGACTCCTTCTACTGCAATCGGGCAGGGAGGTAGCAGCTGCATCTGCCAAGCCAACTGAGAAGTGTCTGCAGGGGGGATTTCTTGCCCCACGCTTTGAGTGCCAGCAGAGGCTATTTTAATCTGAAATCTTTTGACACACTGCACTGCAATAAGAGTTCAGAAACCCAGTCAGGACCCAGCCCAGTCCAAGAAAGGATTTGCAAGGAGGAGGAGGACCTACAGCAACCCCATTAACTTTCGTTTTCTCAGAAATCACCTGTTTGAGCAGAGCTGTGTGTTGGGTAGGGGAGGGAGAGAGGGGAACTTGTAAACAGGATCTAATTTCTGCTCCAAGATATTAAAAACCCAAAGCTACTTTCCCCTTTCAAGGTTATGCAGGGTATACAGTTGCAAATCATCACCAGCAGAGCATTTAGTTAGAAATATGTGCCTGTACCTGTTTATTAGGCTTTTGTCGGAGATAAGCTCAAAGTACCTTGGTGATTTTAAACTGCATAGGGGTTTTCAGTCTCTGTTCGGGGTCTCCCTTCAGAAGTATGTACAGTGGTACCTCAGGTTAAGTACTTAATTCGTTCTGGAGGTCCGTTCTTAACCTGAAGCTGTTCTTAACCTGAAGCACCAATTAAACTAATGGGGCCTCCTGCTGCTGCCGCGCAATTTCTGTTCTCATCCTGAAGCAAAGTTCTTAACCTGAAGCACTATTTCTGGGTTAGCGGAGTCTGTAACCTGAAGGGTATGTAACCTGAGGTACCACTGTATGTCATTCCAAGATCAAAACCAGGGATCACTGCTGATCTTCAGTGCACAGCTACAACAAGGCACAGCCCATCTGTGAGTTTATGGACATTCCCAGTTCATGGAACTTGACAGTGAAACCTGACAGGTCTGAGCATGTGAACCAATATAACATCCCTTATGATGCTTTTCCATTCTCAGCATTTTCTGCAATGCAAATGGGTCACGTGATCAGTGATGTGCAGGAGGCCCTCAGTAGACAAGTTAGTGCTGAAAGAGCTCCCTAAGCAGAACAAAGTATCTCTGCACATGCTAATGCAATCCTTTCACTGCCAACCCCCCCCCCCATCTTTTTAATGCAAATAACAGGAGAGGTCTATGCAGAGAGAGGGTTGGAAGAAAGAACTTGACACACTTCAGACATGAGGCAGAACCTTGTTGTCATTGCATTCTT